GGGTTTTCAGGTCCGGACCTGAAACCCGGGAAAATCGTAATTAAAAAAAAAAAAAAGAAAAGAAAATATCTGATTCTCTCAGCCTCCCTCAATCTCTTTCATATTTTTAAGTTCTAACCCTAACTCCCTAAGCCCAAACTGATTCTCTCAGCCTCCCTCAATCTCAACTTCTCAACGCGGCTGTCCCAACTCGCTCCGGCCACCGCCCACTGCCGACACCTCCCTCATTCTCTCAGGCGATGCACACCGATAATATCTGGTAAGTATTTGCTTATAATTTTGGTATTTTTAATTCGAAATAATAAATTTAAGTGTGAGAATTTATATGTTTATTCTTGTTTCAAATTTTCAATTGCTTTTAATGATTGTTTGATGTTTGCATGTTGAATTTCTTATTTTTAGTTCATCTCTTTCGAATTTCTGTTTTTTTTTTTTGGTTTTTTTGAGTTTAGGGTTCATAAGAATTAAGAAGTTTAGGGTTTAGGGTTCAAGTGCGAAATTTAGTTCGAAATTTTGTGTTTATTATGATTATTAAGATTAATTTAGTGCGAAAATTTGTGTTTATTCCTAAAGTATAAGTTATTCAAGGTAATATATGTCTCCACTTGAATTATGGGTTGGGGTGGTAGGGTGGGTTGGGGTGGGGTTATGGTGGGGTTACGGTGGTACGGTTCTGGTGTGTGGGGGTTAAGGGGTGGCAGTGGGGTGGGGTGGGGTGGGGTGGGTTGGGGTGGTGAGCAGGGGTGTGGCCGTGTGGGCAGTGGTGGATCTGGGTAGGGTAAGGGTTAGGGATGGGGCTGTTTTTTATTTATTTATTTATTTTTAACCAACCTGCAAATTGATCCAACATAATGCGGCACAACTTAGTAACTTACTACTTCGTAATAAATTTTGATCGTTGAGAAATTTTTTGGATGAGTAGTGAACTAGTGATTCATTATATTAATCATTGTTTGATTTTCTAATGAATAATGAATGGACTTGCACTTATTAAACTAACTCATACTCCGTATCATATACGCTATTTACCTGGTATTGATATTTCTAATGTGTATATATGGACACTTTTTAAGCTAACTTATACTTTAAAATTTGTGTTTATTCCTGCTAGGCTGCTAAAAGTATGGACTCAGATTATTAAGATTAAATAAGTTGGCTAACCTGTGTGTAGTTCAGGGGTTCTTATTTTTGTTTTTATTCTTGCAGGGAGTGAAGGAAGTCAAGGAACCACGGATTCTTATTCTTGCAATGTAAGTTGCTCTTAAATTTTTTTATAAAATGGTATGTGTATATAATTGTTACTTTAAAATTACTTATATTGTATATAATTATATTGTAGATGGAGAGCTCTCAATCCAAACGGTCTGCTTCTTTTTCTGAACAAACGTCACAACCACTTTCTGAAAAGGATATGGAAGAATTGCAATCTACTTTGCCTCCTGATAAGAAGCTAAAAGAGGGGCGGGAATATATATGGAACAGAAAAAGTAAGAGGAAAGCTGAGTATTGGAAATATTACTTAGAGTACGTCGAGAATGGAAAACTACGAGCTGAATGTAAGTTCTGTCCTAAAACTTTTGCTGCTGATGGTAATCTTAATGGTTCAAAAAATGTTAAAAACCATGCAGAATCATGTCTCGGTAATCCTATTAATATAGAAAAAGAAAAGGGCAAAGAAAAGCAAACTAAATTGTATTTTGATCAAGAACATGAGAGTAGTGAATTAAAGTGTGGGAGTAGGATTATTAACTTGAATGATGTTAGAGAGGCATTGATTCACATGATTATTGTTGATGAGTTACCATTTAAGCATGTGGAAAAACCCGGTTTTAGGCACTTTGTGCAAGTTGCATGTCCACAATTTCACATTCCATCTCGTGTTACCATTGCTCGTGATTGTTTAAAGTTGTATTATAGTGAAAAAGAGAAATTGAGAGAAATGTTTAAGACATGTCAAAGAATTTCTGTGACCACTGATACTTGGACTTCAATACAAAGAATTAATTATATGTGTCTTACAGCTCATTTCATTGATAATGACTGGAAATTGAATAAAAAGATCATAAATTTTTGTCCAATTTCTAGTCATAAAGGAGAGGCTATTGGAAAAGCAGTTGAGGCATGTTTAGAGTATTGGGGTATTGATGATAAACTTTTTACTGTCACTGTTGATAATGCTTCTTCAAATGATGTTGCTTGTGCACACTTGAGTAGAATGGTTAGAAGAACAGGATGTATAAATGATGGAAAAAATCTTCATGTTAGATGCATTGCTCATATCATTAATTTAATTGTGTGGGATGGTATTAGAGAACATGGTGTGTGCATTGATAGAGTTAGAAATGCTGTGAAATATGTTAAGAATTCCCCTGCAAGAATACTTAGATTCAAAGATCTTGTGCAAAAAGCAAACATAGATTCAAAATCTTCTTTATCCTTTGATGTCCCCACTCGTTGGAACTCCACATACATAATGTTGGAAACGGCTTTGAAGTTTCGACGTGTTTTTAGTGGGTTATCTCTTCCTGATGGAGAGGATTTGAATGACAATGAAAGGCCTCCCGAACCCGAAGATTGGGAAAAAGTGGAGAGGTTGGTTTTGTTTCTAGAGGGGTTTTATCTGTTAACTAAACGAATTTCTGGTTCCCATTATGTGACAGCTAATAAAGGTTTAAGAGAAATTGCTTCTATGTATGATATGTTGAATAATTGGGAACAAAGTGAGGACTTGAATTTTCAAGCTATGGCCATTGCAATGAAAAAAAAGTTTGATAAGTATTGGGGTGATGTGGATAAGATGAATAAGTTCATTTATGTTGCTCTTCTTCTCGACCCTCACTCTAAGATGATCATTGTTGAATTGACACTAACGGATATGCATGGACCGGAAAAGGGTACAAAACTTGCTAATGATGTGAAGGAGTTCGCTTACTCTTTATTTTTAGGAATATAGAAAAATGTATGCTACTTCTAATATTCCAGATTGTGGAGATAATATGTCAATGAATATTGATAATAGTAAAGGAGTGGGTTCCGATTATGTGAGGAAACTAAAAGAAAGAGCAAAACGATTGAAGGGGACAAGTGGGTATGCGATAAGTGAGTTGGATAGGTACTTAAATGATCAATTAGGGCCGGAGGAGGAAGAACAAGATGCATTGACATGGTGGGGTAAGAATGGTCAGCGTTATGTGATTCTTAATCGCATGGCACGTGACATACTAGCCATCCCATTGTCGACCGTTGCATCGGAATCTGCTTTTAGTACGGGAGGTCGTACTCTAGATCCATTTCGGAGTTCTTTAACTCCTAAGGTAATGCATCGTTATCTTTTTATTTTATCAATCAAGTTTGTTTATATCTTAATATGACTTTGTTTATACATATTTGTGTAATATTTTTGTATTGAAGATGGTTCAAGCGTTACTTTGCACACAAGATTGGCTTAGAGCTAAGGAAGTGCCAATTGTTGATGTGGAAGAAAATTTGAAAGAGTTAGAGGAAATAGAGAAAGGTAGTAATAATTTTATGTATTTGAAATTTTGTTACACCAAATTTATTATTTCATTGTTATCAATCATTAATATATTCTATATTGTATTTTATTTAGAGGTGCAACGTGGTGAATCTAACGATGTAGACGATGAAGTTGTTTTCGTGGACTCATTAGTGTGAATCACGCGATCAAAGGGAAAACAACTCGTTGGAGAATTTATGTATTTCTAGTACTTGAGAGTTGAGACTTAAGAGAATTTATGTAATTTTATGAGTTTTCGTGGACTTATTTGTATTTTCGGTGGACTCATTTGTATTTTTGGTGTTTGAGAATCGGGACTTTATAGACTTTATGTAGTTTTGTAATTGATAATTTTGGTTTGTATGTAATTATTAAATTATGCAACAGGTCTAAAAATCACAAAACAGGTCCATATGCAGGTCCAACAGGTTTTGTATTAAAAAAAAAACGAAAAAGACACAAAACAGGTCCATTCAGGTCCAAACCCGGACCGGACCTGATTTTTCAGGTCCGGTCCCCGGTCCTCATAATTACCCAATTCAGGTCCCCGGTCCAAACAGGTCCGGTCCAGGTCCGGTCCGATTTTGGACCGGTGTACACCCCTACCTATGATAAGTAATAATCTTTAGATCGTATTTTGTCACATCCATATAATTGCATTGATACATTATTGTATTTTTTGCCACTAGAAAAAATAAATCATCATTAAAATTAGAAAATAACCAATCAAAAAATATTAGCTGGATGAAACCCATCTTACGAACAACCACTTGCCACGTTTTATTAATGTGGTAGTTGAAGTTAAATATATCCCAAAAATGGGCATAGCCACAAATGCACGTGATAGATTATTCACACCTAATCAGGAAAGAACCAAACCCATTTTCAACGGGGGTAGTAAGTGGAGGGGTCGGGAATGAAATAATTAACCTAACTTTATAATTCTTTACTCACTTTTTTTTTTTTTTTTTTTCGCCATTCTTCTTGTCATCTTACTAATAATTGTTTCACTTTTTACTGGCCTCATTTTCCTCATTTGATGCGTTGTAAACAGGAAAATTAAAGTTGATTCAGGGGGGAAATAATGTAATAAACTATTTACTCTTTCCGTTTAATCGTACTTAATAATATGTAGTAATAATTATTTTAGGTGTATGAATGTACAACATTTAATATTTTGTAAACTTTATTATCAATGTTTTAAACCTGTTATGAATTTGTTTGATTTAAATTCATTAAACCTTTTATGAATTTAACTGTCTAGAAATATTTAAAGATATACCTAATAGAGCCTTAATAGTCAAAAAATTTCAATCTAATTAAAATGAAAGCCATATAGGTTTTAAACCCTTAATTTAATTGAGAAAAATATAAATTATAGAATTATTATTATTATTATTATTATTATTATTATTATTTATCTATTTATTTATTTTTTCTTTTGTTGTTGTTATTGTTAGATCTTATTATTATTGTCGTTTTTTTTGTTATTATTACTTGTATTATTGTCATCATTTTTGTTGTTGTTATTGTAAGACACGAGTACATGAAATGTAAATAATTTAGATTCGACAAAATTACTCATATCCGACCTGAAACTCTATCTATCATTGATTACTTGACTAGATCCGTTTACAATGTGATTAATTATTACATATAGTACATATTAATCATTGTAAGCGTATTGGTAATAAAACCAAATGACATAAAATTAAATCCGAACAATAATTCTTCAATAAGACATGACTTGAGTCCAATCCAAATAACCCAATTGCCACCAACATTATTAATGAAATGTTATGGAACATTAAGGAGGGAATATCAACTGTGCTAAAGATATTTCATGCCATATATAGCAACATTCAATGCCATGGCCCCGATAGGCCCCCCATTGATTCCGCCACTGGACTTTGCGGTAAGAAGCTCGTAGACACCATTGTTATAATACCCTCCTTCGTAGCCTAAAGAGTTCACCTGCAAATTCACAAGAAATCAGCAGAAGAAAAAAAAAAACCCTAGGGAATATTATTTCATTATTAACTTCTACTTAGAAAAAGATATGAAAATGATTATTGAAGAGGAAAAAAATAACGAAATGAATTTCAATGAAACCTTCTTCATAACCCATGGAAACCCGATTTTGACAGTAGAAGACACACATCCCTTAAGGCCATTCTTTGAAACATGGAAAGAAAAAGTATTTTCGAAGAAGCCGAAGGCGATACTTGTGATCTCTGGTCACTGGGAAACTGATCATCCTGCTGTTAATGCTGTTCATGTCAATGATACTATCTGCGATTTTGATGACTATCCTCAAGCCATGTACAAGGTAAAAATATTTTTTTTTTTTGTAAAATTATAATTATTACTCTTTTTATTATTTAATTTTGTGTTTATTGTAGTGGGTACATACATACTGTAATTTATGGTATGGAAAACTTAGCTTGAATAATTAGCAAATAATCGGAAACTTGAAGATGTGCCATAGAAAAAAATCATTAGGTTTTTCCATGCATTTTAAGTAATCTTAATAATAAGATGATATTTACTAATATAAATTATCATACTATCCAAGTTTTTTTCTTTTTCTTTTTTTTTTTCCTGATGGAATATCATTATTATTTCTAGGGGTGAGCAAGACCGGGTACCCGGTCATATTTGTAATACCCGGATCCGGAACCGGTTATAACCGGGTCCCAAGAATTGGAACTGGTCCCGGAACCGGTTAATACCGGATCCAAATTTTTTGGAACTGGTCCCGGACCCGGTAGGAACCGGTTCCAAAACCGGGTACCCGGTATTATTCAACGCAGCAGATCAACACAGCAGTAGCAGCACAGAGCAATCACTCAAGTATTTCGACCACTTCATCAATTTTAGCATCACCAATTGCCATATTCTTCACAAATTAAAATGTAGCAAGTAAAATCGCAAGTTAAAATCGCAAATTAAAATCGCAATTCACAATTGAACATGCAGTAGCAACGATTAGTATTTAGTACTTTAGTAGGAGAAGACAGGAGAGAGCAAGTAAGTAGAGAAACGATTAAAATCGCAAATTGAATTCGCAAATTGCATATTTCATACCTTAATTAGTAGGAGAAGACAGGAGAGAGAGAAGCAGGTGGACCGTTGACGGTGGTCGCCTGGTGTCCTGGTGTACTGGACGGTGGTCGGAGACTCAGAGGAGACAGTCAGACAGGAGGGAGGACGAAAGAGTGGAGAAAGGCTGAGAGGATTAGAGGAATTAGGGTTTTTTTATTTTTTCATTATATACCTAGGGTATTTAGTTTTGGGCCAGGCAGGGGTTTTGTAGGATTGGGCTTATAATTCAGTTTGGTTCGGTTTTGTTCGGTTTTTCAATTTTCCGAACCGAAACCGAACCGAAAACCGAAATTTTTTTATTTTTGACACCGAAACCGAACCACCCTCCCAAAAAACCGAACCACATTCCTTATTCGGTTTGGTTTTTCGATTCGGTTCGGTTTTACACCGATTCACTTTCACCCCTATGCATCACCATCTACATCTTTCTCCACAACTACAAATTTCAGAAAAGACCAGCTCAATAAAACAAGAAATAGATCTGAAAATCTGAAAAAAACAAGGTAAACCAATATCATGATAACTAGATTAAAAAAAAAAAAAAAAAAAACACTATTGCAAAGATGCAAGGTGAATGTGATCAGAAGATGGGATTGTAGTGTAGTGTAGTATGATTTTTTTATTTAATCATTCAGTCAGGAAAAAAATTCAACAAAAAATTTTTGAACTTTGGGAAATATCTCCTCTAAAGAAATTTTTCCACTAATCCATCGCAAGTGGTAAAAGCCAAAAGATAGAACATTGAGTTATTGACTCTGTTTCTTCCAATGTTTTTAACTCTATCAGGGAGAATGCAAGCAGCAAACATAACATCATTAAAACGAAACCCCAGTGTACCCACCTCATGTACTGAGATCAACACCACAATGTTAACAGCCAAACAACAACTTCTATAAAAGCAATGACTGAACTAAACATGTACAGCAACTAAAAATGGTACCCACCAATTAATACTCAATAAGAATCTATTCAAACACCCAGAAATTGCAGAAAAAGACTATAAGTGCAGTCAATTTGTACCAATTCATTGATTTCAGCATATTAAACACTCGTAACACCCTCAGAAATTGAAGAAAATAAAAATTAAAATTAACATAAACACTCTAACTATCTCCAAAGAAAATGCAAGCAGTAATAAACAGTACCAGAGATCTACATATGCAAGATGAAACAAAAAGCAAACAAAGTGAGAAAAATACTTACGAAAGAGACAGTCGTTCGGTGGCTTGATGAGAACGAAAGAGAGGATGAGATTTTGAGTACCAAGAGAAAAATACTTACGAAAGAAGACCGAGAATCAGTGAATTGATGAGAACGAAAGAAGACAAGATGAGATTTTCAGAGGAGAACAGAGAAGATTGAGAATGAACAGAGAAGAACAAAACCCTAGCAAAAATGAATTCAATGAAATGAGGAGGCTTAGTGGCTGACAGAAACCCTAGCAGAAATGAGTTGGATGAAATGGGCCTAATGTTGTATTGGACTGTGGATTGTTGGGTTTTTTAAAAAAAAATAATTTTTTATAACTAAATCAGTACCGGTTCCGGGTACCCGGATTGTCTGGATCCGGGACCGGGTACCCGGAACTGGAATTGGTTTAAACCGGGTACCCAGTGGGTACCGGGTCCGAAATTTTAGGACCCGGTCCCGGAACCGGTTACAACCGGGTCCGACATTTTGGACCCGGTCCCGGAACCGGTGGGACCAGTTCCGGGTCCGGACCCGGCGGATCCTAACCGGTTCCGGGTCCGGTACCGGGTACCCTGGGTCTTTGCTCACCCCTAATTATTTCCATGCTTTTCTTTATTAATTTTTCCCTCTTCGGTTTCACCCTGTAGGGTTGCTATAAAAGGAATATGATCGATTTACCTTATCAAAAGTGGAAATATTAAGCTAAATAAAATACTTCGTGTTTTTTTTTTTCTCGTTTGATTTTACCATACATTTCTCAATAATAAAATAATATACGTAGAAATAGATTATTAGAGCTGCATCCATCACCATAGTTTAAATAACATGTTTGCTGATGTTAAAATTATGGGTAAGTCTTGCTTATTACTACTTCTCATCATTTTAATTTTTTACATTATTCATACATTAATTTTGAATTAAGCAGACTTTTATGGACACGTATTAAAAATCGTAAATGTTAAAAAAAAAAATATATTATTAGATTTGTCTCAAAATTTTTAAATAGATTTATTAATTTAATAATTGATATTTAACTATATTAATGATTCAACTTGTGCGTTGACAAAAATATCACAGAAATTACATTGGTGTGTAATGCTGCGTCTAAATTGACATTTTTTGTTGGCCTAATCATTAGGCAGGCAATTATTTAAGCATTGGCAGTTAATGAAGCATTAATTTGTGGTTGGAATAATGACATAATTTTTCATTTAGTAAATTTCCAGTTTAAGTATCCGGCTCCCGGGTATCTAGAATTGGCAAAAAGGGTGCAGCAACTACTCAATAAATCCAAGTTCGAAACCGTGCACATTGACCAAAAACGTGGGCTTGATCATGGTGCATGGGTGCCTCTTATGTACATGTATCCGGAGGCCGACATCCCGGTATGTCAGCTCTCCGTTCAGCCAAAACTGGACGGAACATACCACTACAACTTGGGACGAGCATTAGCGCCTCTAAGAGACGAAAGTGTACTCATCATTGGTTCCGGAAGTGCAACACACCCCTTAGACGAAACCCCTCATTATCATGGTGGTGTTGCTCCTTGGGCTGCCGAGTTTGATTCTTGGCTTGACACTGCTCTCACTAATGGAAGGTAAATAACTTTAACTTTTTTTAACCCCATTAATTATATTTACTTTACAGTAAAACTTGTATACGACGGTTGTAAAGTACGGCGTATATAAACAATAATAGTATGTTCCCTAATAAAGGAGTACGACAAACCTAACTAATAACATGTTAGATATTTCGTTATCATGTTTTTCGTTTGTTTGTTCAACCATAGCAACATGTCACGCAGTGTCATATTCAAGACTTGTGGCTTGGGAGATATCATTATCTGTATACTGTACTTAATTTTTTTGTGCACAATTTTGGTGTCAAAAAGAAGCCCATCGCCTATGTCGGCTATTCTCCCCAACGATTTGCTGTGTTGTGTTGGTAGGACATTGAATTGGGAACCCTTTGACATGATATTTGAGCTACTATGACCATGTTTAATAAATAAATGGTGGTGATTACAAAGATTTATTTTTATTACTAAAAAAACAAATAAAAGTGATTTATCTTTTTTTGGATTTTACTTACCTTACGTGATCAAGCTGTAAAAGAAAATTGAAAAAGTTGCTCCTGATTACGTGTCTTGCTAATAAATAATACTCCGTAGTAGACTAGTAGTAGTAATAATAATAATAATAATAATAATAATAATAATAATAATAATAATTTTTTTCATCTTTTATTATTGGACTGCTTTTTATTAAGAATAACTACCTACTACGTACTGTTGATTGATAAATATAAACTCTCTAGACTTTTGTTTATCTTAAACAATTATTATAACTATACAATTTGTTATCTGGTTTTTAGGATTGAAGAAGTGAATACATATGAAACCAAAGCTCCAAACTGGGAATTAGCACATCCATTCCCAGAACATTTTTATCCATTGCACGTTGTCGTCGGGGCAGCTGGTGAAAAGTGGAAGGCTGAGCTTATTCATACCAGTTGGGACCATGGTACCCTATGTCATGGCGCATACAAGTTCACTTCCAGTTAATTTTCACCTTGTACCAGTTGTACCTTGTACCAGTTGTACCTTGTACGTATGTAACACAATATTGATCGTATGTTACGTTGTCATTGTTGTCATCGTTTTTGTATCATTTTTAATCCCTTGCTATTCTTTCTAAAATACTTCGTATTGAAGTGAAATCCTACTTGTTCTCATATGTATCATGTATACGTAGTTATATTTTGTAATGTTGTGTAATCTCCTCAATTTTGTTGTATTTTAATGGCTTGGTATTATGGATTTATGGTATGTAAATTGACTCGTGTATTGTTTGAGAGTTGATTCAAGTATTGTCATTTAATTTGCATGCAAAAGTTGTAATTCTTTTTTTTTTTTTTTGTTTTTTTTTTGAAGGGTGTCTTTAAATACACTTTATTGTATAGCATGTGGAATATATATATTTTGAGAGGATTTACGTTGGACCAACGCATTATCGAAAATCATATTTTGTGGTGTTTGTTTGCTAACTCAAGATTTTCTCCTTATCCATAAATTAATAAATACCTTATAGCTTCTATAGCTCCATTAATTATTAGACTTGTGTTAAATGACCAACTCAACAAAAGCTTGAGCTGATGGTTAAAGCTCATGATTGGTTTATATACTCTATCACGCCCCCTCACATAAGAGCCCTTTTGGCTTGAAATTTAGATGCAACATGCAATGGGTCCTCTGCATACCCCCGTGACCTTTGTATCACGCACGTTGGATCTTGATACCATATTAAAGGACTAACTCAACCAAATTAAAACTTAAAATGATGGTTGAAACTCAGGATTGATTTATATACTGTATCAAATTGATAATTTTTATCTTGGTTCAGTTTCCATATATGACTATACTAGTACAATTGCAAACAATACTCACAACTTTATTTTTTAATTATTATTATTTGTATCTTTCTTTCTTACTTTTTTTTTTTTTTTTTTTTTTTGAGGGAATGTATCTTTCTTACTTCGTATTACATGAACGGGCTCAAAAAGTAAGTTAACGGACTCACCCAAATAACGTTGGGCTGAGTCAGAGTTAGAATTGGGCCGTATCAGGGTAATTTGGGTCTAAAAGTCCAATACACACCCGCTTTCTCCAAAGGTTAAGAACAAAGAAATAAAAGTGGCCCAATTGATGAAACGAGGCAGTAAATGAAGAGGAGTAAAGAGGGTTGATTTTCACAAGAGAAAAAAAAAAGAAAAAAAAAGAGTAAACATAGGCACAAAATACGGGTCAAACAAGAACTGATAGTTTAATTTCCTTAAAATGAAAGCAAAATAGTACTTCTCTATGATTTTTAGCTTATTTAATGCCAGTGCTAATATGGGTATAACTCGCTCTAACTATATACTGAGGACTACTATATCATATTTTAATTAGTTAGACATGATTCGCTTGGTAATACTCTTATTATTTTATATCTTAAAAATTTTGCATTCGAATCTTACACAGGATGTTTTGAGGAGAGGATACAAGTTCAAAAATTCACCATGTCAATTAGGTTATTAAAAGGTAAAGGCCATAAAGGTATAGTACATACAAAGCTATCAGCTACGCATTTGAGAAATTCCATCATTCCATGTATTCATAATTCATGCACCTATGCCATGTTCGCGCGTAGTTCATGTATCCAAATATAAATTTGTGTAATAATAGCAATATGTCTAATCTATTATGACTATCAAGGGAGTAACAAAATTATATTATGACGTATGTATAATGCTGAAGTTAAACCTAAACATTGAGCATTCATCAGTAATAAATCAAATATGTGAAGATTGCTAATTAGTGCAAGCTCAATAACTTTTTTTTTTTTTTTTATTTTTTTTTATTCAAAAGCTCAATAACTTATAATAGTACGTATAAAGTACTTGTATATAATTATATAGATATGTTAAGACATAACATTATTCTGCACTGTTATAAACTCATCTAATTAACAATTATTCTATGCATAGATTATACTAATCCGGAGTAGGTGTGTAAGGTTGAGAGTTTAGGTGCACTAAAAAACTTACGCACTCTATAAATTTATTTGGAAGTAAAATTCCTGATATTTGAAGGTGTTATAGTTCTTTCTAGCTAATTACTTGTATATCAATTTAATCCAGGTCGATCACTTTTTTAATTTGTTTATTGTCTATTATCACTACAAAAATTTATGCATGAATTATCAACCTATTTAGGCAATTTTGGCTAACTTCGATTGAATATTTATACGGAGTATATAACATCAAATACTGTCATACATTTGGATGTACACATATTAGATACACCATCTCACATGCTGATGCATAAAATGCACGCCGCAATGGTTGCACCCATGTACTATACTTTCAATACAATACAATGTGTAGAAAACAAATGACAAAAAGGTACACTAACGTAGGCGATTAGGTATACATAATCAGTAATTATATAGGGAGATTAATTAAGCTAGCCATATTTCAAAGTAAGGTGGCGGTATCTACACGGGGATGTTGATATTGAATTGATACAAATATATAAGAAGTACTAATTTCGTTTTCGGAACTAGATCCCAGATTGTGATGATTTTAATGAAGGTGGGTTCTTGATTTTGACAAGAAACTACTACTACTATTAATATTACGTGCCACGTATTCTCTTAGCAAAGTTACTAAATATGTAACTTTTTTTTATCACACGTATATTACTCCATTAATTGGGCATTCTCAAGAACAGTACGTAATAATAATGTACGAGTAAGGTCTTAAGTTGTTTGTGATATTCCGGTTTCCAATATTTCCGGGCTCTATAAACGGATGCTTCAAGTAGTACACTTGCTACTATCGCCCAAGCACGGTTAATTGTGAAGTATGTGTTAGTTTCGTAACTAAGTTATAATAAAAACATAACTAAGGGAACTACTTAAGTTTTTTAGTTTAATTTTTTGTGTTAAAAATTTTGAGATGTTCCTAATAAGATTATGTGAAAGTTTTGTTTTTGTTAGAATATAAAGATATGCCCTGAATCAATTAGCCACCCAGCTGAGCAAGGATCACGAGGGTCTTGCATGTTCGTGAATAAGCTATAAACTATCATTAGTAAACTATGTACAATTTGTATTATTCTTGTTTGTTGATTTTTTTTGGCACATTATAATACTTTCAAAATAAGAAATAACGTAACTACTTAATCTGCACATTAAAGATTTGTTTTATTCACTCAAATTTTACTTAATTAGAACTTATTTGTACTTATCGTAACTTGTTGAAATATGATTCATAATTAAAAGAGTCGTAGTAGATTTTCTAAAAAAAAAAAAGGTCGTAATAGAAACCCTGGGAGCTAGTGTCCCTCATTAACTCAATTTGTTATTATAAGCTTTCAAACAAATCAAATTGATTTTGATGTAATATCAATAATATGGTAATTAAGATTAATTATTGTTTGCTCACTAATCCTCGTACATCAATCAAAACAGTCAATTCACCAACAAACACAATTACAATACAAACAAAATTCATCTTAATAAAGCCAAGCTTCAAATAATATCCCTAGCTTATGTATAGTAATTAATTCGACTTATATTATATTAAGTTTGGTCCGCTAATATTATCCTTGTTCACTAATGTACTAACTTCAATTGTTAGTAACTTACCTTTTAAGCACTTGTTTCCCTTTCATTTTCCCCTTCAACACCAACTTTCTCTCTCTAAAACCCCACCCTCCATACCTTGAGCATGCCTGAATGTCCAGAGAAAGGTATACAACTAATATACTCACAAATTAATTTCATAATGTTATTAACTCATTTTTGTTACATGTACATATATAATGTACATGAAAACCATATAAATGTATATATACATGCATAAACATAAATAAATTTTGAAGAATGAGGCTATATTTATAATTAATTAGGGTGTTGCCCAAACTTTTGGCAGGGAGAGATTTGATGAGATAGGCAAGAAGATCAAGAGAGATAACGATGCGATTTCAAGAGGAGGAGGAGGAAGGCGGCATTTTCAATTAGGTCCTCCCGGAACACTTAATACGATCACCCCTTGCGCCGCGTGTAAGCTCTTGAGGAGAAGATGTGCTCAGGAATGCCCCTTTTCACCTTACTTCTCACCTCATGAACCTCAAAAATTTGCCTCAGTTCACAAAGTTTTTGGTGCTAGCAATGTTTCTAAGATGCTCATGGTAATATATTGTACAAACCCTAATTGATTTTTCCTCCTTAATTAAACTTTTGTATCATTGTATGTTAATAAATTAATTTTCTCATCACAAACCCACCTAGAAAAAGACAATAATTTTATTTTAGCTAGAAGTATATACCTTGTATAGGTTGGTAATGCCTTCCCAAATTTTTTTTCTTAATTTTTAGTCTAGTTTTTAGGTACATAATGCTAGGTATTTATTTTCATATAATTTATCAAGAATTTGGGGAAAGAAAAACCCTCTCAATTACAATATGATAATTATTATAAATTTAGCCTTGCAACTTACAACTAATAGTCTTTGATCTTTAATCAAAGTTCAATTGAATAATAGCCAAATCATTGCTTGTTTTTATGTCAAATTTTGTTTTTTCTATCCTTTAATATCTAGTTGTGTGCAATGTTTCCCTATAATTTGACATATTGGGTTTTATCGCTAGGGAAATGGGTCCTGACGGAGAAAGAAGAAAAAACAATCAACCTAAAAATTATTCATCGATATGTAATTTTGTGGGAGAACTAGCGATTGTGAGCTCTATCGATCTTGACCTAAGCGTTGCAAACTATTAACGATTATTTCGTCTATCATTCTCTATCTTTAAAGAACAAGGGAAAAAATTACTAGGGATTATATAATTAATTAATAAATAACACATCAAGAATCAAAGATAACCCAACAAGTTTATAAATTTATTTTCAAAAATTTTAAATGCTCAAAATTAAACCGGCCTTTAATTAATCTAAGGCATTACCAAGAAAATGTGATAATTTAATTAAGATTCAAAACTATATTATATATTGATATTTTTATGATGAATTCATATAGGAAGTACCAGAGAGTCAAAGAGCGGACGCAGCAAACAGTTTGGTGTACGAAGCAAATGTGAGACTTAGAGATCCAGTTTATGGTTGCATGGGTGCTATTTCAGCGTTACAACAACAAGTTCAGCTTTTACAAGCTGAACTTAATGCAGTAAGAGCTGAGATTCTTAAATACAAGTTTAGAGATACTAATAACAATCATAATCATAACAATAATAATATTAGTACTTCTACTAATAACATTAATAATAATCCTTCACCCTCTCCTCATGATCTTTCTTTCTTTTCTTCCGGTGCCCCGGTGTCGGTTTCTATAGCCGTGCCACCACCACTAACAACAGCTATTCCACCCCCTTCGCCGCCTCCTCTTCATAGTATTCCACCCGATTCTTCGATTTCTTCTTCCATGTATGCACACGAACCATCATCATCATCTAATCCTGATCATGATCATTTTAGCTCCATTTCTAATGAAAACATTTCCTACTTTGGTTAAACATAGATCTTAAGGTAACCAAGATTGATAATTTCATTATTATTAATTAATTATTAATTATAATGTAATAAGATGAGGATTATATAATCCAGATTCTAGCTTTAAGTTTCTTCATTGGAAATTGGAGCTTAATTTGTTTATTTAGAGTGGAATTGATGTAAAAAGCCCTTAGTGTGGTAAAATTATTCTTCCTCATAGAGATATTTATGGTTGAGGAATAATTATTTCTTTTTGCATAATTTGTATGTCAGAGATTGATACAAACATTAAATTTAATTATGAAAGTTCCACTCTTTTAATATTTGAGTGTATGTGCTATATTTGATTTTTGGGCATATAAAGTGCGTATAAGATAAATGTTCTATTTCAAATAGGTGATACTTTAATCCATTCAAATAGTTGACGTCTGTAATGTTTGGTTATATAGCTGCATATCAATTAAGTGTACGTGATCAATATAAAATTACATGAGACCTCGTTGACGTGTTTTTGTTTTATACATGTTAAGTGAGTAATTTTAGAAATGTTGGGACATGTCGTAAGAAAGAAAATGGATAGTGTAGCTATGTTTTGACCTGAGCCTGGTCAAATTAAAAGGATATTTGTATCAACCTTCAAAGGTATAAAATTCATTTTTATTTTTATTTTTTTTCATATGTATGTAGAACTCCGTTTATCTCTAATTGTGTAACTAATGTCAAAATTAGCAACCCTAACATTGAAAAGTAGCAAGAGTGATATAAATAAACTTTACTACTTAGTAGTGTATGTATAAATTAACAAGTGAGGTTGACTAGTCTAAATGCATACTTGTATTCATATATGTTAGTAACTTGTAATGTAGAGGCAGATTGAACTTACAGAGTTACATTTATTTCTAGCATTAGCTTAATGTAAAAATTTCATGAAATTAGGTACCAATGTCCAATGCATGCTATTGCCATAATGCCATGTTTGGAAATTGAAGTTTATGAATTAAACTTTCAGAAAAAAAAATAAAAATGTTACTTTTGCACGTGTGAGGGATCGCGGTTTGACCGTGGACTTCGTGCCATGATTGTTTGTGCACTTTTATTAAATCAATTTCCATTTAATTTTGTTCTGAATTTAGGAGGTCGGCTAAAGCTTTGCTTGTTATTTGGACAATGTTGCATTAACTTTCAACGTTGTCAACCCTCCAACTGTCAATACAAGGTTCTTACTTATTAATATGCCCAAAACAAAAGAAATTAAAATGTCAAAAAATATATATATATATATATATAATAATTTGTGTTATTGATAAATTAAAGGTACTTCTATATTATTATAACACCTAAAAAGAAAATATTTATAAAAGTTGCTTAATGAAGATGGTGGAAAACTCACATTGTAACTTTAAGGTAATACGTTGGTGCCCCGTGTTTGTCCATGTGCTTAGTAAGGAATTCTCTTAAACTCCCCGGCATTAATTTGTATAACCAAAGTGACTCACATCGATCTAAGTATAAGCTTAATGGACTATAGCATTACTAAACGCCTCGTGTCTTACTTAGACCAAATAAAAATCATCATTACACATTAGTAATGCAATAGGGTTAGGTCCGATGTCATGGTTGCTTGACATTGTGGTATTCTCATCTCGCTTTCGCGTTATCTTCGTTGAGTTTGCTTGTCTGTCTATAATATACTCTAAATCATGCAAGAAACTTTGTATTTCATTAATGAATTTAATTAAAAGGATTAATTTTTTTTGAGAAAAGCAAAAAAGGTATAATGTGAATAACTTACTAGACTTCCAGCCTCCTTCAATCCACTATACCGCTTCACAATACACCTTCGACGCACCAAACTTTTTTTTATTAACAAGTTCAGTTGCTCTTGAGGCCCAAGCTCTTGAGCCCAAAATAATAACAGATATATTCAGAATTAGCCCATTTATTCTAGAGAATACATGACGGAATTGAGGCCCAAACCCAATGTAAGTAGGCCTTTCCATTTGATTTTCTTAAACTACTTTGATTTTGTGCACAATTTACAAATTCAACTATACCATAATTTATTTTTTCTATTTTATAAATGCAATGTTATTATGAATTACTGGGTGAATTCAATTTTGTATTTTGAATATATTAATTTTTTTAATCTATGGTTAAAATTACAAGGATTTGTGTAATGATATACTTGAAAAGGGAAAATTTTTATTTTTTTTTGAAAACACCTGCTCACTTCATTAATTAAGGGACATTAAGTGCGAAAGTACATAAGGAGAGACTTCGGACGGGCAATGATTAACCCATACTTACTCTACCCCGAAGGGAACAACTCTAGCAAGATGATGAGCTATAAAATTACCTTCCCTTTTTACATGAGACCAAGCAACAAAGGAAAAATGAGCACTAAGATCTAAGACATCATCTAAAATCAGAGAGAGAGGTAGCAGCCTTGTCGAGACGATCCATGAAAGCTTTGCAATCCGATTCAACAATAACATTGTCTAATTCATATCTGATCTGCTGCCAAGTCTGATCCCAAACCGCACTGCCATGCATTCAGCAATGTCTGGAGTCCACTGACCACGCATCCTTCTTGTACCCGCAAAGATGACTTCACCAGACGAGTTTCGAGCAACAGCTCCCAAGCCAATCCATTTATCTTCACCAAGGGACCTGGAGGAATTCTAAAAAATAATTCTAGTTCATTTTGGTATGTACTCAGAATTTTTGTTATTTTTATTTTTATTTACTTATATTTTGCATGTATGTACTCAGAATTTTGAAACTGTGAATTCAACTGCAAATCATGTTCATTGCAATATTCATTTTCTCTTCTTCAACAATCATCAACATAACCTACTCCTGCTTGTCTTAAGCTCGGGTGTTATGTGTCCGGTCCTATAACAATTGCACCAGGTTACAGACTTGATTGAAGCAACTTATACAATTAATAGGGCGCCCCCATTACTCACTGTGAGAAACGTTTTTGTTTCTCACAGTGGCAGTTTCGTAAATAAAATGTACCACTTTAGTCACGGTAGTACATGTTATTTACGAAATGGATGATAAAATTGTACCACTTTAATCACGGTGGTACATTTTATTTACGAAACTGCCACTGTGAGAAACAAAAACGTTTCTCACAATGAGTAACAGAGATTTATTGATCTTTAATAAGCAAAATATATTAAAAATAAAAAATACAAGTAAATTTTTTGAAGCAATATACTGTATAAGATTTCACATGACTATATTTTTACTAATCGTATAATTTAAATCACGAAAGATGATTAATTAAAGATTGTTGTATGAAAAGTCCAGTTAATGCAATTAACAAAGAAGCATATTGTTACATTTTATATTTTTGAAATTTCTGAAAAACAACTTCTACAATTGTAAAAACAGAATGAAAGCTTCAAACACTTAAGTTTACAAATCTTGCTTAATTAAAGACTAATAAGGCATTTATATAAGCCCCTTTGAATCAAACTATAACAAAATCACCTTATGTTGTAGTATAGTACGTACTCCAATAACTATATCAACACAACTTCCTAATTGATTAAATTAGTTAGTCTTCCTGCAGTTCTTCCTGATCTCGCCATTGGATCCAGTAAGCGGCTTAATGTCACCCATTTTTATTATTGCTGCCACGAAATCGGAGCTAAATCGGCTAGGGTTGCTGCTGTAAGTTTGGACAAGCGCGTTGGTGGAACCACCGCTAAACAACTGTTGGTCAGAGTGTAGAAGACCCTTTTGGTTAACGATGTTCTTGTAGTAGTTGTTGTCAAAGGAAGTTGGGGTTTGAACATCCAAGGGTGCTAAGTTGTTGTCCCCTGTGTTAGTACTTGGACAATTTGCTTGCCTTGTTTTGGCAAATGCCGAATTAATGTTGCTTTCGTTGTAAATACGAGTCCTAAAGCTCGTGCATCTTGCTTGTCCGATGGTGTGTCCGCCTACAAAAATATTGCGCACCATTAGCTGAATAAGTGGACAACACATAATTTTCCTTACAGAATAGTCACAATATACTGTCAGATGACGGTGTGTGAATAGTGTTTTTTTAAAAAATGTTACAATCATTAAAGAATGGAGGAAGTGTGTTATACCAGATAAAGCAACCATTTCAGAGGAAGAAAGGCCTTGCTTTTGGAAGCTAGAGATAAGTTGGCTAAGGCTAAAAGTCGGTTGTGGGATGTCATTGTTTGCAGTGGATTGGCTAGCTGTCCTAGCATCTCTTCTACCTAGCTTTACGTTCCAAGTTGGTCCTCCAAGCTACAATAACCAACAAACAAAACTAAGATTAGGAGACGGATCGCGGAGATGGGCATTTAAGTTTGATGATGAGTTTATCATTATTTTTTACTTACACTGACAACAGAGTCTCTAGCAGTAATTGCTAATATGTCAGCACATGAGACAACACCAGGGCAAGCTTTCTCTACCGCTGACTTTATTTGATCAATCACTTCAAATCCTCTAACTGAGCCGTTATTGGGTTTTGCCATCTTCTCACCAGTGAAAGTAGAGGTGTCGTCTAGTAAAAGTGATCCATCACATCCCTGTTATAAGTGCAATGTACACATGTTAAACATAGTTTGTATCATATAATGCTAAAATATGTTGTACTACCGCATTCTATTATAATACTTCCTCGGATTCCCATGAAATAATTACTATGTATATGATCATATGTTAACATGTGAATGCAAACGGTATTTAAATAAGGATATTGTGTTAAAAAGTTTACATTGACGAAGCAATCGTGGAAGAACAAACGTAGGAGAGAAGCACCCATCCTAGCCTCTTTTTTAATAGCGGATTGTACAACAGATTTGACAGTAGAATCGAGATTGGGGCACGAGCTCGAATAAAAGTTCGTGGAGAGTTGGGCATTGGTACTACAAATAGAAACCAAGAGAAGGCAAGCCACAATTGTGAGGGACATGAAGGAAGAAGAAGAAGCCATGTTATATTTTTTTTGTGTTAGCAAATTCACAAGCAAATATTGCTAACAAAATAAACTAGGAAGTGTGTTTGAAACAAGCTGAGGAAATGCATGTATTTATAGTAGTATTGCTGCTGCAATAAAGTGATCTCAAGGTAACATTAATGTGGGACCCTAATAATTTGCATGCGATAGTTCTTTGAACGTAGTATAAAGAGAAATAATAATTGGTTGAAAAATATAAAGGTCAAAACTATAGTCTAAAAATCAACACGCCATAATTACACAACTGTTTTAAAGACTTTTTTAGGACAAAAAAAAAAAAAAATGACATATACGGCTTGGTCAATGTATTTTCGATGTAAAATTGTCAAAAGTTGGAACCTACTTTACTCGCACACTTGCTAAATCTAACCAAACAGAGATTTGGTCGACAAGTAATCCAGAATCAAGGCTTCTACTTCTTCCGGATAAAATTTTAAATACGTAGTATGAAACTTTGACATTGTCACATATTCCCTTTGTACACCTTCTTTAATTTTTATACTCCGTAATTGTAATGTATTTTCTTTGCTTACGGTTTAAGTAATAGATTAAAAATGTTAAATGAACAGCGTAGTTAAAATAACTTGAAACCTTAAATTTTCACCCTTCCCTCTTAATGATGTTTAAATTAATTAGTTTTCTTAAAATAATTTAAATAAAATGTCAAAGTGATACTCGTATATTAAAATGTTGCAAGTAAGAAAAATACGTAACTATGTACTTAGATTTGATGTACTAATTCTTGGAAAGTTTTGAAGTTAGCGGAGTTAGGTCCAATTTCTCTTAATAATGGACATGTTCGCCCACTTAATTTAATTATAGAGAAATTCTATGCTTGCTTTGCCTATACTGTATATAGTTAAATTTTCTCTTGGGAGTGATCTCTATCGTGATAGAGTTAGCTCCTTCGTTATGTTTTACCACCACAATAGTTGACAAATGACAAGACAACTAATTTGAAAAGGATATGTAAATTTGTAACTAATTTTTTTTTTCCGAAAATTAATTTCTAATTTTTTGGAAATCTATTTTTATTTTTATAATTATTTATTAAAATCAGTTTTTTTATAAAAATCAAAAAATAAGATTAAATTAAAAAGATTAAAATCAAATTATTGTTCTTCAGCGTCTTTAAGGTTTTTCATCCACAGATGAAATTTACTATCGATTTATGATCTTTGTTCCGTAAATAGATCCATGCATCGATAGAAATTAAATATATGCCCGATCTACACAGCATATGCAAAATTTTAAGTTTTTCGAATTGGGGGTTCGCGTAAAGCTGGGTTGGAACCCAGAAAAACCCAGAATTCGTAACAGTCGAAAATGAAAAAAATATGAAGAATTTAACCTTGATAGACAAATTTAACAAGGATTTAATGTTTCCCTCTTGACGAAAAACAAAGGGAGGAGGAGAGAGAGTTGATGAAATGTCAGAAGAGAAAGAAGAATAATCGATTGAAAATCCGGCGGAATTATATTCTCAATACTTCAAACGCCGTATAATCCATTGAACAGAACTTTAACAATGTAACACCTTTCTGCTTTCTTTGTTAACATTGAAGTTCAAGTATGCAAAGATTCCACACATTTTCCGTGATGAATTATATTGTGCAAATAATTTTATTAATCAATTATCAGGTTTCAAGTATGCAATTATCATATTTTAATAATTTTACTGTACAATCGTAATGAATGATCAGATATTAATACATTTATTGTACAAATTCCCTGTTTTCGCATCCGTTGATTGATATTGTACCATCAAAATCTATTTTCAAGGATTAAAAACCTACTCGGATGCGTTAGAACACCAAATTTTGATTTATTAAAATTTTGCAAAGGCTGTATAAATCGGGCCATTTTTTTATCTCCATTGATGCGCAAGTGAATTTAAGGGACATAGATCATATATTGGTGGTTAATTTCATCCATGGATGAACAAACTTGAAGAAACGATGAAGAACATTGATGAACTATGAAGAACAATTTTTTTTTTATTTTGATTTTTTGTATTTAATCTTATTTTTGGATTTATTAAAAGTAGATTTTTATAAAATAATTTCGAAAATAAAAAAATATTTTCGGAAAATCAATATTAATTTTTGGAATAAGAAAATGAATTAAAAAAGGAAATTTTTTTAAAAAATAGGTTTGACCAATATTTAAAAATAAAGCAAAAATCAGCCAATCATAATTAAGTATAGTCATGGTTACAATAAAGATGACCATAGTAGAAACATCCTGACATTATCCTAAAATCAACCATAACAACAAAAACTTTGCATCGGCCTCTTTGAGAAAAATCCAAAGTTGATAATCTTAAATAGCTACAAATGTAAAGGAAAAAAGAAAATTCCAAAAGGCGAAAGACTAAAACGTAATACTTCTACATCATATATTTCATTCGCCCCCTAAATGTAGTTCATATTTGACCTTTTATGTTTATAGATTGTAGAATCTTGATCAACTTTTTATTTCCTTACACAATGAGTATTATTATATTTAAACTAGTATAATAAAATTCTTTCATAATATTTGAATTACTTCAATTCTAAATTATTATTACTTATAGTTTTCTAAAGATATACTTTGTAAATTTTTAAAATTATATTTGAACTGTAGAAAAATACTATGTAATTTTTATTTTCATCAGGATGAAGGGAGTCGAGTATAAAAAAATTCTCAATAAATTGTCAATAAATTATGCAAAACCTCAAAATAATTATTAAAACATTACTCATCAAGTTGTATAATGTATAACCTACACTTCAATCTTTAATTATGCATATCCTTAAACCGTGTTCAAGCTGTGTTCCACCATTTTGCCCTCAAAGTAGACTACTTCATTCAAAAATTCAATGTTGTTAGGAATTTGCACCTAAGAAAACAATGTTGCTAGGAACCACAAGCAATTGGAGTGGAGGTAGCTAAGAGAGATCATCTAGAATTAGGTACCATCTCATAAATTTAACACCAAGGTGAAAATAACTACTTGTACAAATTTAGAATACAATAATAATAACCAAATTGGCATACTTGCGTGCATTGATGAAAGCCCTTAAGTCACATAAGAACGGAGGATATACAATCAATTAGTAAGGACATAAATTTTATTTTAAGTAAACAATTAGTCCATCTCTTATGTAATATTATACTAACGCGCTATATGCACACACTTAGAATGTTTAAATTGACGAAGCAGTCATGGAAGAATAAACAAAGTAGATATACTCCTATATCTAGCCTCTTTGTTGATGACTTGATGGTGAATCCTTTGATCAAATCTTTGTAAATTAATGGCCATATAATCAAGGATGCAATCTAGAAGGTATAGTCTCCAGTCTCCACATCTGGTCAAGGGCATGTCACATTGTCACGAATATAAATATACGGAGTATGCCCTTAATTATGTAACGCTTAGTGTTCGAATCGTGATTTTTATAAATAGTTACGGTTCCCATATGGACGTTTTTGCAAGAAAAGGAATGACGACTAAGACTACATACTGTTTTGGTAAATGATGTAGACTTGGTACTTCGTATTATGGATGAATGTATAATGACGACGTTGATGATCCAAAAGAACCTATAAAACGTTGAATGACCAAAGCTGACTTAAGAAAAAGGAATACAAAAGAGACAAGGGATTTATAATTGTCACGGTAGTACCGTAGCAGTAAACCTTGTTTTAATATTATGTTAAATGTTTAATACTAGTATAGTTTAGGATTTGTCTTAATTTCATTATCAAAATATCATTTGTTCAATTATCATAAAAAATATTCGGCCAGAGTCTAAAGATGGCACTGGGCTCGGCCCGACACGACTCAGCACGAAAAAAGTACGGCACGAGCACGATGTAGGCCCGACACGGCATGTTATTGTGCGTATGGCGGGTTTAGGTCGCCTTTAATTGGGAGAAGCACGATAAGACACGGCACAATTGGGTCCAACATGACAAAGCATGCTAAAACAATGCTATTTTGCTTAGGCACGCAAGCCCGGCATGATGGCACGTGGGTATGCGTCGTGCACGGGCAATCTTTTGAAAACTTCGACCCGGCACAAAACTCGTGGGCCAGGCCTAACTAACCCCAAAGCACGTGGGTCCGGCACGACCCGGCACGGCCCAGAGCCATCTTTACCAGAGTCATCTACCTTGTTAGGTCAATTTGCACAGATTTATTTTTGGGCTCCTTACTAAAAAGCCTTATACTATCTGCAGTGAGCTCGCTCTCATTTATAACTTTATAAGGAAGTTTTCTCTTTATTCTTTCCATGTGAGACTAAAATTGCCTACTCCAACTAAAAGAATGTTAGATTTGTGAAACTCCTCAAAGTGAAAATTTAAATTTCACAACAATTAATACCAAATTGTAATCTTATACAGCTATACCTAAATCAAAGAGATTAATCGAATTCAAATTTGATACATCTTACAATTACATCTAACAAACTATTACAACAAAAATACAACCTTTAAAACAAATATGAAAAATTCAAACACGACAAATAAAATTTCTTACCAAAACCAACAAAGAACTACCAAGTACTATGGCCTCTTTGGACCTATACTATAACAAAAATGAACATAATTTCATGGTGTATCATGTGAAGTGTACGTGTAGTATTTAATTAGGGCCGCGTAAACATCCTTAGAAAAACTAGTTAATCATCCTACAATTCTTCCTGATTTCGCCGTTAGATCCAGTGAGCGGCTTAATATCTCCCATCTTGATCATGGAGGTGGCGAAATCGGAGTAAAACCTACCAAGGTTGCCACCATAAGTTTGGACGAGAGCATTGCTAAGTAATTGTTGGTCGGAGTGTAGAAGACCCTTTTGGTTGATGATATTCTTGTAATAGTCGTTGTCGAAACAAGTCGGGGTTTGGAGGTCTAAGGGTGCTAAGTTGTTATCCCCCATGCCGCTAGTCCTCGGGCAATTTGCACGCCTAGATTGAGCAAATGATGCATCTATGTTGGTGTCGTTGTATATGTGATCCCTGAAACTTGTGCACCTTGCTTGTCCGATTGTATGAGCACCTAATAAATAATTTTATGGTAAGTTAAAATTTTATATGCTAGATTTACATAATAAATTGATAATTATAGTTTTACAAATAATTGTTTATTAGTAACATAGTTATATACCAGATAAAGCGACCATGTCATTGGCAGAAAGGCCTTGATTTTGGAAACTTGATATCAATTGACCAAGGTTAAATGTTGGTCGTGGGATGTCATTGTTTGCATCGGATTGACTAGCTGTCCTAGCATCTCTTCTACCGAGCTTTACATTCCAACTTGGTCCTCCAAGCTACAACAAAATGTTTTTTTAAGATTAGACCAACTTTTATATATAACTAGTACTATTATTTTTACCAAGTTGAGCAAATACACTAAATGAAAAGTATATGTGAATAAGTTTATAGTTTGATTATGATGATATAATAATTTTTACTCACAATGACAACGGAATCTCTAGCGGTGATTGCTAAGATATCAGCACATGAGACAACTCCTGGACAAACATTCTCAACTGCAGATTTAATCTGGTCGATCACTTCAAATCCTCTAACTGAGCCGTTATTAGGTCTTGCCATCTTTTCACCCGTGAAATTAGGAGTATCATCTAGTAGAAGTGATCCATCGCATCCCTATTATACACATGTTAGGTTTTATGTCAAAAAGCAGTCTTGTAAATGCAAAATGTACGTTTATTGTTTATTATGATTTGTTATTCTATAAGATGCTCAGATAAATTATTTAACAATGTATAAGCATGCATGTAGTTCATCTTAGAATGAGATTATGTTAAGATATATGCTTACGTTAACAAAGCAGTCATGGAAGAACAAACGAAGGAGAGAAGCGCCCATCCTAGCCTCTTTGCTGATAGCGGAATGTACGACAGATTTCACCGTCGAATCAAGGCTAGGACAAGAGCTAGAGTAGAAGTTTGGGGTCAATTGAGCATTTGAGCTCCCAACCAATACCACAAGAAGGTAAGCTACTACTACAAAACTCATGGAAGAAGAACAAGATGAAACCATGATTTTGATTAGAATTAGGGAAGTTTTTAGCAAAGTTAAAAGCAAACAAATATTGCTAACAAACTAGGAAGTGTGGATGAAGCAAACTTAGGGAAAATGCATGATATTTATAGTGGTGCCAAAGGTAAAGCTTTATCAAGGTAATATTATAAGTGGGGCCCTAATAACATGCCTAGTTACATGTAATTTTAATTTCAACATACTTAATTAGCGGAAGGATTACCTAAGAGTGTACTAGATAAGAAAGTCAAGTACTTGGAATTAATCAAAGGGAAAATTAAACCGACCAAGCCAAATTTGTCACATAGCGACCTAGCTCAGGCAGTGGACTAACCAACGAGAGTTGTTAGAAGTTAGAACATTAATAATAAACGAAAGTTTGAATTTGTCACTACGAGAATAGTTATAAGAAATTTAATATGTTAGGTTTAATGGGTCCATTATTTTTCCAATTGAATTGGACGCGGTACACTATGCATATACGCATGAGAAGTGAAGTGGTTAGCCTTAGTCAGTCTAAATTGATCCGACCCGAATTATAATAATACTTCTTACAAATACCTAATTTGATCCAAAGTCAAATTAAATGATCCAATTATTGTTCTGTTGTTCCATAATGTAGGACCACAAAGAACTCAAAATGAAAGAGATATGGAGTAGCTCAAAAATAAGCTTGAATATATTCAATTATGTTTAACCCATACATTTCAATAAAATGAATAAATTTTAAAACTCTGTGACAAAAAGAATCCATTTTTTAATATAGGCTACGTATACTTCCAGCGCTTTTTGGTGTGGTCAGCCACACAGCACAGCACGCTGACACACACTAAAACACTGACCGGATAACCTCTGATCGACGGAATAACCTATGACCAAGTAATCCTTGAGAGACCGAATAATTCCTGATTGAGTAACCCCTACCACACCGTGTGACCAGACACATATAAAAATTTGTGTGTATACATTGCGTTTTGGATACTAAACATTTTATTTCAAATCCAATATATACTTTTCAATTATATCCTTATTGTGAAATAAATCATTACTTTATTATTACCTGAACAAGTCAATCAGGTAATTATCACAATATCCACTTTCTGAGTTTCTTCACACATCTGTCCAAAGAAGTCAATTACCTGATAGCTAAGTTAGGCTAAGAGTGTCTACAAAATTGTTAGTGTGAGATGAGAAGGCAACAAAAATAGATTAAGATGATTGAAATAAAGCTTAAATTTGATTGCTTTTTGAGAAGTCACAACTTTATAACTATGGATGGTTTAATTTGTTCAAATGATCTGAGCTATAACACCTACCATTTTATTTTATTTTATTTATTTATTTATTATTTTTTTAAAACGCCATAACACCTACTTAATTAAAGGCTTCCATAATCCATGGTGCCTAACCTTAGAGCAGGCGGGGTTACAAATGCTAACATTGGAAAGGGTCCGCTGCAATTTTGTTAAATTGGGCCCTAAAATTATTTTTTTAACGAAAAATATTTTACGAAATTATAAATTTGTGATAAAATTGAAGAATAGATTATTAATTAACTAGTTTTCTCTTTACTTTGTACAAGTAAATTTCAAAAATTGGAGCCCTTCTATAATAGTTTAACTTAGGCGCCTTGTGCGATCGACCTCCCTGCACATGCTCAGAACCATCCCTGCCTTAGAGGAGTGTTCTATATGCTTGCTACAATAATTTGTACAAACTTGTGCAATTCGGAATTCTGTTTACAATTTCATATCCTAAGCATGTACGAAAAAGACATCCGGCCAGAAAATTCAATTCTAGAGCCTTTCTAACCTCTTTATGCCTTGCATATGGGATACTTCAAGGCTATGTTATAGAGGTTTTGGTGCAACCCATGCTCTTTCATGCTAAAGGACTTAGCCTAATGAAGCTTATCCTAACCTATTTATGATCTATTATTTTGGTATTTTTATTCAAGCGATCGGGAGTGCTGACTGATAAGAATTATTCGTCTAAACTTTTTGTAGGAAATAAAAACAAAATCGAGGAACATAATAAACTCCAATTTGATCCGTGGAACATTTTACAATTATAACGAACTCTTAGAACACAAGTTCAACTAACAATTGTGAGGACAAGATGATGAAAGCTATAAGCACTTCAAGGTTCTATTGAACCAAATTACCCAACCTTAACAAGTGTAACACATTATTTATGTGCTCATATATTAATTACAACCACAGCTTAGTTAAATTAGTTAGTCTTCCTACAGTTCTTCCTAATCTCACCATTGGATCCGGTGAGCGGCTTAATGTCACCCATGTTGATCATGGCGGTGACAAAATCGGAGTTAAACTGGCTAGGCTTGGTACTATAAGTTTGGACGAGAGCGTTGGTGGAACCACCACTAAACAATTGTTGATCGGAGTGTAGAAGACCCTTTTGGCTAACAAGGTTCTTGTAGTAGTCGTTATCAAAGGAAGTTGGGGTTTGGACATCCAAGGGTGCTAAGTTGTTGTTGCCTGAATTGCTAGCACTTGGACAATTTGCTTGCCTTGTTTTGGAAAATGATGCGTCAATGTTGCTCTCATTGTATATGCGAGTCCTGAAACTTGTGCACCTTGCTTGTCCAATTGTGTGGGCACCTAATAAATAAATTATGTGAGCAAAATTTATTATCAGGATTATGACATAATATACGAGTATACAGTAAGCAAATGCGACGGCAAATTATATCCATCATAATTAATTACATAATAACTATATCGATGTAGATGCAGTGTATAATAAGAAATTCAAATGACTAAAAATGCCAATCTATATACATTGATCTGATCCAGTGCCGATATAAATATTTGACTAGTAATATGTAGTATTGATATTTAAGTTTAAAAAATCATAAAATGTGGTCAATGTTATTTTATTTTGACCACATGAATAGTAAATGAGTCGAACTTTCAGGAATGGAAGTAGTACATGTCTTTTAACTCCTTATTAATTTTTATTTTTCAGTCTACCAATAGAAAATAATTCTCCCATTGAATTGTGAGCCTAATATTAGAATTATGAATATAATTAAGGATGATGATTTCTCTAAAAGATTGTTTTAAACTGTCATATTTTACATACGTCATTTTCACACCGACTCCTCATGAATTAATTTAATAGCATTTAAATATATATAAAAAGTTTGATGAGAGATCTGGATATATAATACTAATAACTAATCATGTTTGTTGTCATACGGTATTTTTATTATATAATTGTCTTAGTATAAGATTAATATTTACTTTTCTTCAAAAAAAAAAAAAAATTTAATATTTACTTTGTTTAATTAGAATTAATAATTATTGAATTAATTTCTAAATGGAGTGGACCTTCAAAAGTTCTAATCATAACAAACAATGACAAAATATTTGGTAAACACTATAAATCTAGTCAATATTTTCGTACTCCTTTTACAATTATATAACCGGCGGCGAGGAACATGTTTCTTTCTAGCACAAAAGCACAGTGTCTTTTTCTTTCACTGTTTTTCTTCTCCTTTTCTTTTTCCTTCTAGTATCAACTCCTTTTTGTCTCAATAATTTTACTATTATTGCTCCCCTTTCGAAACCCTAATACGAAGTATATACTTGTATATATTCGATAGCATACCTTTTATTTTCATTCTATCACATACTTTAAAAATACAACTGAACATATAATTATCTCATATCATGCATTAATATAAATGCACGCAATAACTAACTCCTTATAAAAACCGATGTAGCATATCTTTAAAATAGAATATAATGAGGGATTTATGTCCATGTGTACGTACACAATTGAACCAATTGATAAGCTAATAACCTTCCCAAAAAATTTAATTATTATATTGGTTTTCTTAGAGGTTCTCTAATTTAATTTATGCAATACTTTAAGCAAGGCATATTAACTTAAGCTATACCAAATAAAATCCAATTTGGAGGGGAGATAAAAGTCATAAAAGTATGTAGTTTATATATATACCGGATAAAGCAACCATATCGGTGGTGGAAAGCCCTTGATTTTGGAAACTAGTGATGAGAGCACTAAGACTTGAAGTTGGTGGTGGGATGTTGTTGTTTGCAGCAGATAAGCTAGCCGTTGTAGCATCTCTTCTTCCTAGCTTCACATTCCAAGTTGGTCCTCCAAGCTAAAATAACAATATAAAAATTTAAAACAAGAAACTGTGTATTATGATAGTAGTACGTAACATTTTTATTTGTTTCATGCATTGACTATTGTGAAGAGTAGTTAAATGAATCTTAGCTATTTACTCACAATGACAACGGAATCTCTTGCAGTAATGGTCAAAACATCAGCACATGAGACAACGCCAGGGCATGCTTTCTCAACCGCGGTTTTTATTTGGTCAATTACTTCAAATCCTCTTAGTGAACCACTATTGGGAATTGCGGTTTTCTCACCAGTAGAACTAGAAGTATCATCTAGTAGAACTGATCCATCACATCCCTGTTACGTATCAAAAGAATGAATCAGAAAAATATTTTTAGGTAATAAATAAAGAGACTTTATAATAAAAAGATGTTTGCATGTGTGTTTATTTAAAAAGGAAATGAAAGATGATATGATAGGACATATAATGTTTACATTGACAAAGCAGTCATGAAAAAATAGACGAAGGAGCGAAGCACCCATCCTAGCCTCTTTGTTGATAGCGGATTGCACAACAGACTTTACAGTAGAAAAGAGATTGGGACAAGAGCTAGAGTAGAAGTTCGTAGTAAGTTGAGCATTTGAACTCCTTATAGAAACCATAAGTAAAGCCACAACTACAAACACAGCTAAGAAAGAAGATGATGCCATAATTTAGATTATTACTCAAAGGAAGTTTGTTAGCCAAATGACAAGCAAATTTTGCTAACAAACTAGGACGTGTTGTTGGATTGAAGAAGCTTAAGGAAATTGCATGATATATATAGTAATCTTAATGATAAGATTTCTCAAGGTTATACTTTGTATATTATAAGATACCCTACCAATAATTAATAGTCCTATATAAATATGCCTAGTTGCATGTAATTGAATGTTGGATTTGAGTTGTGTTCTTAAG